GTGTGTGTGTTTTATGTGTGTATGTATATACAGTATTCACGCTTCACTAATATTGGCACTTGGAGTTTCCGACAAATCGAGAAAATATGAGAAAGAAGTATAAGATAAGGAGAAAGAGAGAGAGAGAGAGAGAGAGAGGGAGGAGAGAGAGAGAGAGAGAGGGAGGAGAGAGGGAGAGAGAGAGAGAGAGAGAAAGAAAGAGAGAAACGAAGCATCGTTTGGACCTTTTGAGCACGAATATACGCGTCCGCTCATCCGAACACAGACTGAACATGACTCGATGATATCTAGAATGATTCTGGAGGCAGTATCAACGGCGTGTAACGACGACACGCATTTAGAAATAAGGGCACTGGTCTTTCGCTCGAAGCGTCGCGCACCAACCTCCTATCTGTTGAACAAACATCTTGGACGTTATATCTTACGAAATGGTACTTCAATCTAAATTACCAAAGAGGAATAATGCTGTCTACAGAGGTTGGCTATTCGAAAAAAATTTCTCCTCCAACAGAATCAAATAATTCCCCCCCCCCACCCCTCTGCTCCCCCGCAATTAACGAGAAGGAGACTATTTTCTAACTAAGTTTTGATTCTCTTCCGCGGAGCAAGCATATATTCTTTCATTGTGCGAGACACTTCTGTATGTATGTTTATACACTCCGTAAACTGCGAACGTATCACGCGATTTTGCTCGCTCTATCGAAACGATCGAGAGAGAATAATGTCTTTTCATTCATTTAAGTTGGTATTCATAGCCCATTCTTATTTTAAGATCGTCTTAAATAGTAACATCTTAAGATACTAATAAGCAAAGTTGCCATAAATTCCTCATCTTAAAATTCCATAATTTCTCCCTGATTTTTTGACAAAATTTCGTTGCTTTTTTGTTCCGATTTAGAAATCATCAAATCGTTTTATTATAAGTAATTTAAGCAATGTAAATTGCTATTGTTGTTGACACTTCTTTCGTTTAATTGTTAAATTAGTAATATTCCTAAACTGCACATTACATTTCTTTAAAGCTAAGAATTTTAATTTTCCAGAAAAGTTTGCAAAATTTCCTGATTTCCTTAATCGTTTTCAACTTTCATGACAAAGCTTTTTTGAACTTCCTTGATATTTATCTGATTTCCAGTTTTATGACAATCTTGAGTCTCAAAGTTCTGTGATTGGCTTAAAATATTTTAAGATTGTACTAAAGATGGTTTTAGATATAAGAATTGACTATGAATACTAGTTTTAGGGAATCATTACTAAGGTGATCATTGCTAACGTCTTTTCTCGCGAAACGATAACAGAACGATAATTAAGCAAACATTAAACGCTAAGAGCACTTACTTTCACAAGAATGCATTTACTTGGGCAACATTATGTCGTTTCGAGTTTAAGGGCGGCGACGATCAAGAAAGAAACCGGCCTGTTATGTTTAAGTTAAACCGCGTGTGTTACATATATCGCGATTGATATTACCGTACTTCTTACTATTTGAACATCGTTTCGGTTCAGTTTCTTTGGCACTGTTTTTTTACATTCTTTCTCGACCGGGTTGTTAAGACGATCGATTGGTCGGTCGACGGAGGGCGAGAGTGTTTAATCGAACGTGCTTGCTGAAGTTCACGTAATAACTCATAGCTAACGAAGAATATCGCCTACTGATTTACAACGTAATCATAGCGAACATTATTTACAAGTAGTACAATTTACAAAGGGCACTGACTGGTATAACGTGGTAACTACAGACCTGAAAAAAAAAACGCTCAATACTCGATCGTAAGTCTTTACCGAGGCATTTTATGCACCAGTCGAATTTTTGTATGATACAGCGTTATTAGAGAGAAGCATTGAAGTCTGAACTGATAAATATATTAGTTGTATTCATCACAAGAATAGAGAGCATAAAAAAAAATGCAAAAAGATATTATAAAAATGCAAATAAATATTATAATATATCAATATTTTATTATATCTTTTAATCATATTTTCTTAATGCAAAGAACTTGAGCAGAATAAAAATATTTATAATCACGAATATAATGATTTAACCGACTCCTTTGTTTTTAAATAAGGCCAATAAAAATTTCAATAACATTCAAATTTATGCTCAAATGTCTGCAATATATGTACATATAAATAATTGGAAATGTTTTATCAGAGCAGTTTTACTTGCTCAACGCTGTGCCATACGTTCAATTAGGGCAAAGTTTCCTCTCTTCTTCAAATATAACATTTTTCCAACATTTTGCGTAAAGACTCTAACAGAAATATCATTTCTCATACATTACGCGTTCTTAAAAAGAGTTCGCATGGTGCAATGCACATTGTAACATTACATGAGATTATTTATATCTACAATGACTTTCGCAATGCATCGTATTGCACAACTATAAGAGAAATTCTACAATATCGCTGTTTTGTAATAAAAAGTTCATTCAATAACAATGAATTTTTTAACATTTTCGTTATATGTATATATATATGTGTGTGTGTGTGTGTGTGTGTGTGTGTGTGTGTGTGTGTGTGTGTGTATTAATCCATATAAATAACTAGATGTTATAAAACAAAGAGAAATCGATAAACAACCCGGAATCATCTAATATTCAAGCAGTTGCCTCATGAACTCAACTAACAACATTAGGTAATAATGTAATTATTGCATGTTTCGCTGAACAGTATACTATATGTATCAGAGAGAGAAAGAGAGAGAGAGAGAGAGAGAGAGAGAGAGAGAAAGAGAGAAAGAAACGTAACTTGTTAAACGATATTCTAAACTGTCCTATTGCTGATCGTAAGTTATTTAAATTTAATAACGTCACATCCAATAATTCTATGAGTGTGCTCAGGAACATAATACGAGGAAAAAAGATCGCGAACGTGAGTATAAAATTTCTGCGAAGAAAAAAACGTAATATGATTAATTCATTAAAACATTCAGCAGATCGTATTTATATCTAAAACTTTTCGTAAGAGCATTTTACACCTGACGTGTCCCTCTTTTCTCTATATTCATGGCTCGACGGATGGCTTCGGGCAAATTATTCGTAGTTGTAAAACAATGTGTTAATGAGCAATAAAAAGACTAGGATTGTGCGGAGAAAGTCATGAGAAAATGATTTATCATTTAAAACATAACGTTAAATCGTTCAATCGCTAAAAACTGTCAGGCGTTTCAGCTAACTTTTATAAAGCATGTAAATAAAAAAAATAATAAAATGCTAAATTTTGAAAGAATACTAATGTATATTACAAAAATTTTGGAATTTTTGTTTGTTGTGATACACCATCTACATGTAAAATATAACAAATTCATTAGATAATGTATCGGATATGTAATCTATTTGCACAATATTTGTGTGAATGAACAATTTAATGATATCCCAAGTATAACAGATTAGGCAAAAAAAATATTAAAAAATTTGGCACCGTGAATTTTCAATGCAAATCAATCGAAAAGATTGATTCGGAAATCCTATTCCAATGTACTCGATACTTTTCATTTGAATAATATAACAACAATAGAGCAATAATTATGAATAATATTAATAGTTACAATATAATTGTTAATAATAATAATTAAACAGAAGTATTTTTTTTACATTAAATACTGTACACAACATATGATATTGTCGTTTAGTAATTATTAATGATGATTGATAATTATGATAAAAACTATACGTTTCATATTAATTCTTCTTCTAAAAAAATTTTTTTTTACGGAAAAATACTACACCGAACGCTTCTTTCTTCATTCCTCATCAATAATTAAAATTTAAAATCACGAAAAAACTTGCACAACGTATTGTATATACCATATCTTTTTATAATCAAAACTATTATAAAATCAAAGTGATTTGGCCTTTAAAAAATTCACTAGTTTACGTAACTTAAAAAATAGTTAAAATTATATATACATTTTTACTTGCTTGAATTGTTAATTTACACGATCATTAAATTTCTTTTGCTTTTCTTTTCTTTTCCCTTAAGGCTGTTTATCGTCTCGTTTTTTTTCTTGTCAACCGACCATATCTATCAGATAATCAATACATTATCATAGAACATATCAGCGAAGGCAAAAAAGAACGAAGAAGTAACAAAGAATCTTAAATTCACGAAGTACTATGGTCTCTCTCTCACATATAGGAAGGTAACCCGATTTTCTTTTTTTTTTCCAAGCCCTTTCTCAAGTTGCGATGAGCAACGCACAAATCGCGAGCGTGATTCGTGCCAGCTCATGGATAAAAAGTATGCATGTATATGTTATAAGTGTTTTGCGAGCCAGTTTTCTTTCTTCCTTCCGGCGGACAAAAAGAAACCCGGACGTGGCACGCGGTAAGCCTTATTATCTCTTGGACCCTCTTCTCACAATCATATCATTTTTTTTTCTTTTTTTTATTTACGTACTCTTAAAGTGGACGACACACTTGGACGTGCGCACGGTAAGTAACTTATTACAGAGTTTAATTACTTCTTTCCCGTTGCGCCTCTTCTCTCTTCGGTTTTCTACAATGTCTTCCTCGTTACAGGACCAGCTTTAAATCTCCGTACGTCCCCGCACACAATTTTATGTTCGCTGATCATCAGAATGCCCTTATTTCCATTTTTCTATTCCGAATGGGTATCTATCGCTTGAATGTACTCGATTGTCAACAGCCTTCATGCAAGTATTTAATATTGATCGAAGTTGATGCGCGAGCCTTACCGTGATGACGAAAGTCGGCGAGATCGTCGCCGTCGTGGAAATTGTCGCGATCGACGAGTCTTGCAACGGAGACGTGTGGAAGATTTGCAGGAAGAGTATTTCGCATACGATGTATATTCATCATTGCAAGATGCTTTATGACAAATATTGTACACAAGATCTTGCATCAAGCCATTTCGAGTCACTTGATTTTCCGGTGATAGAACACAGGAGCCATATGAACTGTGAAAAATCAGCCTTAGAACATGCCGAGAAAATGCAGATTCGGCAACGTTGATAATATCGAGGAAGAGGGGAGGAATAAGAGGCGGTCTTTTCAGTTTATGTCAGTAATGCCGATGATCGATACCCCCGATGTTGTTGCTGCCGTTGTTCATGGAGTTACTAATTATACCGTTATCAATGGTATTCGAAATCGACATTCTGCCGGCGGCGTTTTCACTGTCGTACTCTAAGATCAGTCGTTTTATATGGCTCAGCTTATTGTGCAGATAATCAAATCGTTCCTTCATCTGTTGGTATACTGGATTCTGTTTAGTTTCTTTGTACTCGCGATATATCTGTTCTTTAGTTTCCTGAAACCAGAAAAAAAATGCCATCGTATGATCTTGTCTGCTTGTTCGACGAAACGCAATTGGATCATTTATGATAGAAAATTACGATATATACCTCACTCTCGATCATGTTGCCCGATTTCTTTTGATCTTGCAATAGTGTATACAAATGCGTGAAGCGATTTGCGGTTACGAGTACTTGAGAGTGCAACCTACGATATTCATCATAGTTCGCGTTGAACTCTTCTTTGTAACGCCTTTTCTGTTCCGGGTTGCTTATTGTTGTATATTCCCTGGATAAATAATTTTACATAAATATTGTATCAATCAACAAACTAAATTAACTTGTAACAATCTATGAAAAGAACATTGTTTTTCGTTATCATTTGAAACTATTTTCGCAAATTAGTAATAATCGATAATGTAGCTAATATACTTACGTGCGGTAGTCGACATATTGCCCGGTACTTCCCAGCCTTTCGAATCCATCAGTCGGCAGCGAGACCATCGCAGTGGTATTATCGGTATAAGTAGGAGCGCTAGAGGTTTCACCGTAGATACCTGCATAGCTGGTGGTACTATTCCTATTCCTGAATTCCCTCTCTCTATTTCTCTCTTCTCTCGCGCCTCGACTCCTATCGCTCCTGTCTCTCCTGTCGATGTGGTCAATCACGTTGCTCGCAATTTCATTGGCTATAATGACACCGCCGTCGTGTCTATCCCCATTCGGATGGTGGTTGCCCCTTTCACTATCATCAGGCGACAACGGTGTCAAGCACAATGATCGATTGGAGTCGTTTGGAACTGCGGTGATAGCGGAGACTTCACTATAGACGTTTCCAGTACCCCGCAGTACGTCACTGTTTGCTGTCCTTTCGGCCCGGTAATCGACGCGGTTGCTGCTGCTGCGTTCACGCTGCAATTGCTGCCTCGATTCCCAACCGTCGAAACCGCTACCGCCGTTGTTACTATTACTACTACCATCACCACTATTGCTGTTACCACAACCACTATTAACGCCGGTGGTACGATCGACGATACGGTCACCACCAGCGGTTGCACTAACACCACTGTTATTATTACTATAACTGTTGCTGCCTGATAGCCTTTCGCCAGCGGGGATGAAGGAGATAGGCTCGGGTCTCTTATAGTGCGATATCCGCGGCTTCTTCGTTGGTAATCCGTCGTTACCCTGATAGTATCCTGGTCTCTTGTTACTAACCAAATTGGGCGGAGGTGCCGTGATCGCCGGCGGTGAGCCCGCATGAATGGAATTGGGTGACTGACCACTGCCTAAGAGTGTAAACATGTACAAAAGATGTATTATTTAAAATAAAGTTTCATATTTATATATGCAAATAACGTGATGTTGATAGTAGTAGTACACGTACCGCTGGAACCGCCGTCACTCGAGCCGGGTGGAGTAAGGTTTTGAGGTTTCCGTCTCCTCAACATTGTCCTTTCCTGCTCGGTGTAGAAAGGCCAATCCTCCTGCACATCGTTCCAGATGTGCCTATATAGGTGATACGTGTTGTCACGCATGTAAGCTACTTGCTTCAGAAGCGTTTGCATGACGGGTCGCTCTCGTTCTCTCAAACCCTCTGGAATTTGTCGACATATATATTAATATATTGTCGACTATTCCGAAAAATTGAAAACATTCAAATCCTATTTTACCTTTTTTTATGCGTTCGTAAAGCTCGGGCTTTTTGTAGGGCCTCAAAGCAAGGACATGGATAAGTCTTTCCCTATTGAAAAAAAAAAATCGCATTAAAATCTTTTTCTAAGAGATATCAATCTTTAATAAATTTTCCTACTAATTTGTGCATCCAATTTGACAAGCTTTCGTCTTATTAATCTACAGAAAATTATAGCTCAATTAATCTGCGGAAGATTATAGCTATGTTTACTTTCTCTGTCTTTGTTTATCTTTTATCGGAGCATGACTTATTCTTATGCTCTTATAACGAGACACTTACTTAAGTGGCCTGCGCATAATGTCAGAAACTGGTTTTTTCTCCTGATTGTGAGCCGCCGATAGATGGTTACCACTATTACTATTACTACTACTATTAGCGATCGGCTTGTTGATTGAGGCTTTGGGCTGACTATTGCCGGAAGTTGGAATGCTCATCGTAGATTCCCGATGCCTTGCATACGATGACGGAGGAGGTATTGTTCTTCCGGTTCCTTTCACTTTCACCTTGCGTCCGATATCTGGACCATTCGCCTTGATCACCCTCGTGCTGAAAGAGCAACATAATTTCCATTGAAATAAATGAAAATGCAGAGTTAGGAAAGTTGCTTTACAGTTATTTACAAGTTACTTGTAATTAATTTTTTATTATAAAAATTAAGTGCAATTAGTTCGGGTATTTTATTTTTTATGTTATTCTTTATCATTTGCTTCAATTTTGTATTACTTTTTCAATCAATTTCAATAACAAACATATAAGATAATCTAAAAAATAATTTAGAAATAACTTATAAAAATAACTTTAATCCTGTAAAATGTATGATATAATGTGTTATTTAATTAAATAAAAAATTGGAAAAAATTAAAAAAAAAAATTAAAAAAAAAGATAAAAAGCGTATATGTTCTTATTTTGACTTATCTAAAAATATTGGTATAAAAAAGCTACATATTTCTAATATATTTATTTAGAGGAAATATAATAGCATAATTTATTTCGTCATGTCATTCGGCAAGGATGACATATTCATATCGGCGAATCTTTCATTTCCTGTATATTTATATACGAAACGGTCTTCGCGCGATGAGCTACACTTTTATTCATACAATTAATACAATTTGCAACATCACTGACATAGGGGTCCGATCGATTGTCTGATTATGCAATTTTCTTTGACGTAAATGGCGCGTAAGCGAACGCAATGATAGAGGCACGATGAAGAGAGGCGGAAAAGGGTTCAGGCGTGATGAAATCGCACTTGTGAGGCGCTCTTAGCCTTGGCCGTGACGACTAAACAAATTAGCTGTAGGCGGTTTAGAAATGGAATAATAAGAGCCCCAGAATAGACTAAGTCGAACGGACGGACAAGAGGAGTTAGACAAAATTACGGATACTATCTTGTATATTGATGTATTTATGTAGCGAAGGATAAAAGGTGACTGCTCCGAAATTGAATGAATGAGCCTCGTAGTATCGCGACAGACAACAGTGTTGTGATTGTATGTCGCTAAATATAACATCACCTGAAGAAAAGGAAACATTCCACGAAATAGGAAACTTCTCTTCTTATATATATATATATATAGTCAATGATGCAGAGCCAGATGAAAATACGGAGCTTTATTATTTATTACATATGCAAATTTTAAAAATCCATTTGTTTGCAAAAATTTGGATAAACATCCGTATTTTCTGACAATAAAAATTTTGATACTTTTAATAAATGATATTTTTTAAGTGTGCACATACACATACAACATATCGATAAAGATATTTATATATAAGCATCATTTATTCTATCAATGGATGCGAACCCTCACCTCTGTGATGTATCTTCTATATGTGTTTCTGAATATATTTAAAAAATCCCAGAATATTTATAGATAACGTAAACCTCAACCATGTGCGACAACATACTATTATTCAAGGTATGTCTGTCAACTAAAAGTATATCTTCGGGCGATATTCTACAAATTCTCACGATATCACAGGGACGTATGCGCGCACGAGGCTACTCGTAAATTCCTTCTTGAATCGCACGAACATCCGTTAGGAGACCGTATCTACAGGCGAAAGTTTGTAAGAGTAAAAGATCACGAAGCAAGGATTATTTACGATTCCGCGGCGCTTCGCGGAGGAAAGTCCTGAAAATGGAAAGAAAGGAAAGCGATCGCGTCTTTCCAAAAAGAAGAGAGATCCTTCGCTCGGAGGATCGAACGGTCACCGACGGCTGTATGTCTCATTCCTCAAGGGAGTATCCTTACCATTTGTTCTTGTTATTCTCCTCGACGACCGCCATTCTGTGCCTGGTGGTCTCGTAAACGTCATCGTTTGCCTGTATCCGCATCTTGTACGGTATAGCGCCGAGGCTCTCGAGGCTTCTACGAGAAAGAAGAGCAAGAAGATAATGAGAAGATAAAAAGAAAAAAAAATAAGAAAACTACAAGAATCAGGATAAGAGGCAATTCTTTAAGCGATTCCCGCATTTTTTAATATTAAATTAATGAACAAGAGTGGAGCATGGAAAGATCGATTTTTAAAGTAGCTAAATATAGCTTTTAGCTAAATATATAGATTGAAAATAAAATTATAAAAGTTAAGTGTAATGAGCAATGCTACAATAAATTTTGATATTCTATAGCAACTAGTTTGAGTTTCCAACAAATTATTTTGATGGTCCAACAAAATTATTTTCAAATCTGTATTTTTACTATCAGCAAAATTGTTCTTTCAGTGTATATAAAATATAAAAATATATAAACACAAAAGACGCGACTCTTGATTTTGCCAAAGTTATTATTATTAGTAAGTTATTACTGGTTGTCGTTATTGTATTTATTGATGATACGTTATGTATGTATATAATTTATATGTATGCCTTTATACGATACATTATATCATATATTTATACACGTATATAATATATCGATTTATTGTTGCTTGGAAAAATGCAGTAAAGCAATCAGAAATGAATCAACGAGCAAATCGAAGCTCAATTTATCATCGACATGTTACGTTTTTAACATCAATTCGTCAAATCACCGGATCGTATCGTCGGACGCGGTAAGCACTAGTAGCCAGTATTACTGAATTGGTTCTGCTGACGCAAGCATAATCGTCCACGAGTGTAGTCGCCAGTAGCCGACACCTGCTAGCTCACTAACAGCGCTTTAGTGTGTCAAGTTGCCGCGATAAAACCACCTGCTCAAGGATGCTCCAAAGTTTTTACGTCGCTCGATTTAGATTGCGAATTACGTTACGACGCTTACGACGGAAGATTACTCGAAATTACCGTATCGCGTACCGAGTCCATTCACCGAGACATTATTTCTCTGTAGTTATAATGAATCTCTGTAGTTACAGCGAATAACCGCTGTGACATACATAAAATAAAATTTGTCTACTTATCTATCTATCTAACTTTCCTACGAACGAAAATATAATAAAATCGAGGAATTAGACCACCTGGTTAAATAATAGACGTAAAGCGATTTACTTCGCGGCTCTCAGCTTCGAGTTTCTCTTGTATTCAGATATATTTTCATATCGATATGCTGAACGTACGAATGTAATACATAAAATATCTTGCAAGCTCTCGTTATACCGTAATAATCAATACGTACTTAGGGCCGGTCTGTTGAGCAAGCTCGAAACCACCCTGGGAACCCTCCATGTCCTGGCTGCTAGAGATGTTAAAGGTGAATCTGGCCACTCCGTTGATGGATGGAATGCTGAGATGCTGAAATCAGAACGCAGAGCGTGCGTGTTAGTCGTCGTCCTCTTAATAAGATTGCATTAAATTACAAAACAACGACCTATGCGGCGGTATATACGTGCGTATAACGTCTCTCTGTGCACAGATCTATTGTATATATATATATATCTCTTTTTTTTTCTTATAGCTGCAGATATACAACCGCCATATATAATACATGAAGTTCACCTATGTATCTGTTCAGCTATTTATTTAATGTCTCACTGTTCGTCAATTTCACTTACTTCTCTCTTTATTTCTCACATAAACTAGAAAGTTTTACGAAATAATAATGTTTTCAATGTGTGCTTTTAAATTTAATTCCACTCGAACCGTTTAACTAAATAAAATATTCATATGGGCATTTTCTCTAATTTCAGCATATATTCAAATCAATAAAGTATAATAATGGCGCAATACTTAAGCTAATGTAGATTTAATTCGTAATAGAAACATATATTTTCTGACGTTAAGAAATATATGGGTTCTTGGAACTTACTAAAGCTTTTGTTGTTGGTTTTATTTTTTTTAATTTTTCAAATTTAAAATTGTAAAGAATTAAATTGTGAAATACAAAATTATTTCAAATCGTTACTATTTAAAAATTAGGAAAAGTTCCAAGATCACCAGGATTCACGTGTTCCAGTTACGGGTTAAATAAGTAAAACTGCAAATCAACATCGCTAAATATTAATGTGAATAAATAATAAAATGACAAGCGTGCGATTTGTTTACTGCCGCATAAGTGAACTGATGACATTTATGCGTTTTATATTAAATTATATGGACTGAACACCATCGAAGTATAATATATTCGCGATAACGTCATTTATACCGAGCGACAAGTCTCGGCTCGTTTGCGCTTCTCTCTCGCTCGCTGCATGTGCATTGGGCACGAAATCGATCCCCGATCGACGTTGCGAAACGAGAAGATTGCGGCGATGGGAACGTGAAGCGTGTCGTCGTTTGCGGAATTAGCGCGTAATTCGCGTAATCGCGGATAGCTGTCCCCGACGACTACCGATTATCGTCCGACGTTGAATTAGACCGAGGAGAAGATAATACCAGCGAGCGGAGCGCGCGTCTAGAAGTAAACAGATCCTAATCGGATTGTCGCCGGTAGCACGACGGTGGCATTTCGATGACGCCGTCAGATTATAAAGGAATTCGAGCGATCTCGGATCGATGTAGCCGCGCTAAGCGCAAAGTGCAAAGGGGTATAACTTTCAGGTCAGATTTCGCGACGGTGACGGGAGAGTAAATTCAATTGTGGTTTAATCTTCCCTTTGAAACGCTATTATACTACTGTTCCAAAGAGATAATAAAATATTATTAACAATAATTAACAATAATAATTGGAAATAACGGTCTCGGTAATCTAAGGCTTAGGACGCTCGCATGAAATGCAAGAGATCCAGTTCAACTCCCGGCCGAGACAATATTTTTCGTAATAAGTTTATTACACTTTTTTAAGATTAAATTTGAGAAATTTAGGAGGATTATTAAATGAATATATATAATAATTCAACATCTTAATATTCAGAACGTAATGGCGTTTTGTATTTAAAGTAATGTACCTAAAATATTATTTTTATATTATTTTTGTAGACTCAAACCAGTACCTACTAGTTCAATTGTTAGATATTTCAGTAAAACCGTCTCTTAGTACACATACTGTCATTAAAAGTCTGTTTATGTTCCATTTGATTCACGTTCTCTTTTGCGATTAGTTTTTCTTTCTATTTTTGATCTGTTCCGTATTTTTGCTATATGATTTATTTATCTTACCTTGTGCCGTAATTGTCTTATTTTTATTGCAACATATAAAAGTAAGATAGAAAAACGTAAACGCAGTTTTGCTAGTGTTTTATTTTTTACAAATACATTTTTTTATTTATCTCTGTAATTATCCAATTTATTTATAAATCAATTTTGTATGTACGCAACAAAGTATGTATTATCTTTATAAAGAAGAAAAAGAGAAAAAAATTTTGCATCCGATATTTTGTATATCGAGAGCAAAATGCATATGTATTTAAATAACAATAAAAAATATATATATACATGCGTTTCTATTTATAACAGCATGAACTATATATATGCAATGACCTTTAAATAATTCTTTTCTTAATAAACGAGTTAATGCAATATTATCTTGCATTAATTTGACAGTTTAGCAAGTGAAGTAAAAATACATGTCTTTAAAAGCCTGGGAGTATAATGAGAGTAATATGATGTAGTAAGTCAA